AAGCCATATAACACATTCGAATCATGTCAAATGAATTTTCTTCGAGATTTAATTTTTCCAGTTCCATCAAATCACACTGATAGAAGTTTACATTTGCCGGTTTTATTTGACACGGATAGACTGCTTCAATATCAATGCCAAAAAATTGAGAGTTTACATAAGTTGTTCCCATCTCAAGAAGCCAAGCCCCCGGCCCACATCTTTTAGAAAGCAGAGCTATATGTGAGTTATGAGGTGAGATTGGTAAAACAATTTCAACATATAAATTTGATTTACCCTCCATCTAAAACACGAGCTCCCGTCTTTAGCGTTTCTTCTATAGGGCATGAGAAATTGCTTTCGAAAAGATGTTTGATGAAAAAATGCTGGCGTTGCAACCGGTCAATATCATATTCTGACTTAGGCAAGCGATAGTCGTTGGGATCAGTGTTTTGCTCATCTGCCAAATTGTCATCTTTTTTATTTGAAGTCGATTTCGATTTAGATTTCGATTTCGATTTCGATTTGACATTTCCCATATTATTAAATTGATACAAATGGTGAAGGAGACGAAGAAGTTGAAAGGAGGAAGAGAATAAGAGCTTGATTATTTATAATGCAATAGAAATACATGTAAAGCACTGGACAAATGCAAAGAATAATTATTAGGTACAGTTGCCATGAATCAAATCACTCACTAGATGCCAATATACGGACTTTAAATTAATAATTTGTTTTCATCAAACTGAAAAAAAAGTTGTTTTAAAACCCAGAAAAGAATTGAACAACGGCAAATAGCAGAAAATGAAACGGGGAAATTAATGGTCCTAATACTAAAGTATAAGCTGACGAAAAACAAATTAGTTATTGCGTCTCACATTACATGTATTTATATTTTTTAATGTTTATACATGTATTCAATTTATTATTAATACATTAGCAAGCTTAAAAATATTTCCACTACTACGAGACGCAATTATGGGATCGGATCTTATATAGAACGATTATGTAAACTTTCATTTTTTAGGAGTTTCTCCTAATGGGTATATAGTATAGAACACAACTTTAATTTTCCATAGCACATGTAATCGTCAGATAAATGGACCACACAAAAGATGGTACTACCATCGCTTTTATTTTTAAGGATTAGAGATTAACATTACGTAAAAGTTCCAGATGTCGGATGATACATGTAAAACGAAAATTTATCACCGCTACTTATGTCATGTTATGTTAATATTACGGCCTACGGCTTTTTTGCTTGCATATGCAAATGCATTTACACATGTACACGTATAATTATTCAATTTTTTTAACTTCGTAAATTGATTGTACAGTCAGACCTCCAAAGACACTACTTCCTACTAATATACTTTTATAGTAGTAGAATTGGGGTTACTGTAACCCTAAAGCTTCAAACTTTTGGAATAATGTGAATAGCAAAACTCCTAGGTAAACTCTAAGAATTTCTGGAAGAACTAAATCAGCTTCTGTTGTGTCTATCGCTACAATATGAGGTTTCCTGATTTGGAAGAATGATACGTGGGGAGTCGTACATGTATGACATGGAAAAACCGAAACCCCTTTGTGTAATAATTACGCTTGTCTTTCAAAAGCGAAAAAATAACGATAAGCTTTTAATTTAGCAAATTTCATTCGAGTCATAATATACATAACATTTACATAATCGTCAAAAATATCATTATGGATTTTTTGTAATAATTAAAAAAAATTACATGTACACTGAACCAAAGTTTGGAATCGGGGGGGGGGGTAAGTTGCATCGTTATTTGTGCAACACACAGACGTCCAATTTTAACGTTCAATATCTCTTTAGAAAGCTAAAATCTCAAGCTTTAAAATGATATAAAGAATTTCGAACTCAACCAACACTTGCCGAAATTGCCACCC